AACAACAAAAAAAACGTGGTCAGTTCAGCCTTTCTCACTTGGGATCCTTTTCCTGCTCAGATCTACTGTGTGAGCTCAAGCAAATCCTTCATAACGACAGGGTATTTAGCTGCAGGACCAGCCAAGGTCAGAGTTGTCCTAAAAAGGAGAAAAAGAGGCAATATGATTTGGACAGGAATGGCAGGAGAAAGAACTTAATATCTTAATGGCTTTAACTTCCTCTATAATCTTTTCCATAGTCGGGAAGAAAGTGAGTAATGGAAATGCATATAGATTTATTATGTTTAGCTCTGTCTTGTGTTGCCTTAATAAACAGCAATATGTTTTAGTTTCTTGCACAGAAATGCATTTGTTATGTGATACTGCTCTCATGTATCCCAGAATGGTTTTGTGACAGAAGAGGCAGACAGATGCCTTCTATAAACCCCTGCATCCTCTTGATTATATACGCCCTACCCTAGCTTTGCACTTGCCAGATAGTTGGCAGCTCCCCTGGTGCACACTAGACTCGAGCTGTCTGTGCAACTGCCTCCACAGGGGAGGAGACTCTTACCTGGCATGAATTCTTCTGCCACTTCTTATCCTCAAGCAAACAATTAAATACCACAGCATTTGTTATTCAAGCACTGCACTGCACGGCTCTTCCCATGGCTTATCCCAGTAATGTGCAACCAGTAAGGGGAGATTTTTCAAAAATGACAGTGATCGAAATGTGCACACAATTTGAGATTGAAATGGCCTTCTTAGTGTTACCATTGCACACCCCAGCACTGGTTAACATTGTATGTTGGGAGCAGTCGGGATGTTGTTGGGGCAGCGTGAGCAAATGGAGTGTCGGGAGTTGCTGCCTTTTGCTATGTTGGTTCTTTTTTTCTTTTTTTTTAATGAAGTGTGAAGGAGGAGCAAAATGTTACAGTTATATTTTTGTCTTAGTGAACACTAGAATTCTGCAGTGCATTAAGAGTCATGGAGGTGAGACGTAATTCTTGTTGCTAAATGAAATTTGTGCTGTGGTAGGTTTTTTAGCTACTGTTCTTTATTATCCCCAATTTATTGGGCCTTACAGACCATATGTCTACTAGACATTATACTGAAGATGTTGTACTGAAGATGTTGTTAAATGTGACAGTATCACAGGCAGCTTTCTACTTTCCTAGTCAAAAAATTTATTCTGTCACAGATTTGGGGGTTTTTTTGTTGTTTATTTGTAGGGGAGAGCAGTCTTTATTTTACATTCCTCTGCCTGCTGCTGACATAATGTTTATGCTTTGGAGAGCTAAAATCTTGGACTTTAAAATGGAAAATGTGCCTTTAAGATTTTTTTTATGGGACACATGAAATAGATTTTCTATTTTTGGTTTGAAATAATATTGACTTCACTTTATCCAAATGTAGGATTGTACATTCCTTGTACTTCCCACTCATCCTTTCCTCTATTTCCTCTAGCCTAGCTTAAGTGAGATTTAATGGTAACTTGGCCAACTTGAAAAAGTTTCAAATTCTTCTTTTTCTTTCCTTTTTTTTTTTTTTTTTTTTTTTTTTAAATGGTGAAGAGATAAGAGGTGGTTTCCTTCTGACTGCAACTGGAGTTGTGGTTTTTAGTGGTCAGGGCAAGACCTAGATGCCTTACTGAGCTCATGTACTGGCTTCCTCTGAGGTTTTTGGGGTAGTTTGCTAAATCCAAGTGCTTCTGGGCACAGGCAGATGCCAGGATGTCAGTGGCACTTTTAACCAGACCATTTTTACTGAAACAGCCTTTCACAATCCTTGATCACAGCCCACGCTGGAGTGCTGGCCTCCAGCTGACAGAAGGAAATGAGTAGTTTGGGGGCACTGACACTGATCCCTCAAGATCTGTAAGATGATGTGACTGTCTTCTGTGTTTTGGTCTGTAATGCTCATTACTAATGTGTTCTTAATTGGGTGCAACAGCTGAGATCCTAAGGTATAAGGTGCTCTGCAGATGTAAATATTTGTCAATATTAATTTGAAGGCAAACGGTGTTAAGAGAAAAAAGTTCTTTACCAAAACATGAAAACAAAATTTAGTCTAAGGTCTCTTCATTACCACATCCCCAACCCTTTAGGCTAATGTTTAAAAATTTCAGTGTATGTTGCATTCTTTTAACAGGGCCTGCAAGATCACTTGAATAAATTTGCTGAGAATTTTGATCAAGTTCTGGCTTTCAGGCCTACTGGGTGGACCTACTCGGATTCCTGCTACTCAGTGGTGGATATCAAGCCTCAGACAAGAGGAAGGATCACCATATATGGTATATATGTGGTAAAGATTCGCTGCATTTAATTTTGTAGGGAGGGTTTTCATATTTTATTTGGGAAGCTCCTGCTGTTCACTGTAATCAGTGCTTCCTGATAGCTCTTCTGTGAGAAACTGAACAGATGGATCCCTCTAGGACAGGTTTGTGGAATGAGTAATCCAAAACACTGTAAATACAGACTTTTTGCCTATTATCCTCTCCTGCTGTCCTCTTGCAACTGAAGGACTTTATCTAATTTAAACAAGACTTCAGAGATCAAATCTTGGCCCCACTCACAAAGGTGGCAATGCAATTTTATTCCATATCTCATTGCTGTTGAGAGCGGAGCCTTCCTCTTTCTCCCAGCTTGAATCTGTGGGTGCAGTTAAATCTTCTATGGTTAAATGTTCATTTAACCAAATATTAGGTGTTTCTCAGTTTGATAATAGACATAGTAAATGAATACTAGTTTTTTCTTTTGTTTTTTTTTCATGATAAAGTCTAGATTTTCATTTTATTCTTTCTGTAAGCCTTAGTTCTCCAGTTTGAATCAAAAACAAAAAAAAAAATTATTTCAAGCATTTCTTAGCTGGAAGTCTTCTTAAAAGTGCCTTTGTTGGCAGTCTAGACTGACAGATCTCTCTGATTTGCTTCCTTTTAGGGATTCCTTACAGTGAGCACAGCAGTTACCTAGAGATGAAGCGTTTTGTTCAATGGTTGAAGCCACAGAAAATCATCCCCACTGTAAATGCTGGTGACTGGAGAGCCAGAAGCTTGATGGAGAAGCAGTTTAGAGACTGGATGGTAGAGAGCAACGGACACAAATAAGGAAGGATGCACACTGCAAAGGAGAAAAACTCTCAAATTTCAATTCCCTAACTCCATTTTTCCTGTGCAAGTCTGGTCTAAGCTGCTGTTTCCATGAAAAAGCATTATTTAGGAAAAAAAGGGGCATCTTTCACTTCTAGTGTACCTATTGATTTAACTTCCAGTAACTTACGACTCTTGCTTAACTTAATGCAAATGCAGATTTTATTTTCCTCCTTTTTCGTTCACATTCTTTATCTTTCCAGTATCCTATCCCCCAGCATTTCACTTCTGAGTGCTTCCGGGTTAAAGATTTCTAAAAAGAAGTTATGGTAATAAATGAAATAATGGTACTAAGCTTACCTGGCATGTTGCCAATACAGGCTTCAGGGAAGCTTGTTTCATTAGGCAGAAATGCCTATTTCAACAATGATGATTTTAAAGCTTATAAAGAGTATTTATCTTATGATAGAGGATTGGACTGTTGCAGCAACTTGAAAAACAGTCATTTAAAAAAAATGTTGCTACTTATTTTCCACTCAAGATTTTATATACTTTTTTTAATAAAGAATCTACATGAGAGGTGTGTCCCCTTTTTAAGTTAAAGGGAAAGGTATCGTTTTCAAGGTTACTTCAGCTGCAGTCTGACAAACCTAACACATTCAATGAGCTTCCTGTAAATACTGCTTGTTTATACAGCCTGTGTGAGATTGGTCCTGTGTAGTGCAAATAGGTCAGCACAGAAAGTGGTCCCTCTGCAGATAGTCTGTATTGTATTTGGATTTACAGGATTGTGTAAATAGGCTTGTCACTTGATTTCTGGAAAAACAAGAAAAGTGAATGCAAATATTAGTAATGGAGAGGTAAGTTCTACTTTCTCTTTTACCCTTGAATCCTACAAGATTCTCAGTGCTGCTTGTTTCTGAATCTCGCTTGGTTATTTATGCTGTTGTATACCCCCATGTATTTCAGTCACACTAATGTTAAATAGTGCAACAATATTTGTTCCAAACATCCAGGAGATATAAAAGTTGCATAATGCATAGCAGACCATAACCACCTCCTGCAAAAGCTAATCTGAAATTTTCAGTATGCTTTTTGGTGGGAAAACACTTTTTGAAGAGTGTAATATGAACAGGCATTTATGTTTGATAAAACTCTGTTATACAGAGTTACTTTATTTCTACCTTGGAGAAATAGAAGTTCTTTAATGATTCACACATGCACTTAAAGGAATCTAAATTTGTTTTGACTAGTATTTTAAATGCATAATTCATTTTATCTCCCCTTATCATGGTAATTGTTAGTTGTCCTGGATTTGACCTGCTAATTTCTAGTACTCCCTTGTTGGAGTATATGAATTTTGTCTTTCATGGTCTGTGCAAACACTGAATGTGATTTTAGCCCCATGTACAAGTTGGAGCACAACTAGGGATTCTCCTTAGCAGGAAAATGCTGCTGCATCATTAAAGATTTGTCCATGGTTCTGCCTTCAGACTCCTCTCCCTGGCTAATTCTGCGTCATGTGTAAGGGTCTCAGTGCAGTAAAACGGTTATTTTACTCTCACTGCACTGGGTCCCTTTGCTTCCAGCTCCTGGTTATTACCTGTGATAATGATCCAGCTTGGCCTCTGCTGGGCTGACTGATTGCAGGTTTTCAGCCCGTTAATTGTGTTCTGGTTTGGAACAGATGCTGGAACTCACTGCAGTGCCCAAAGCAGAAGTGCGATGGCTCCTGTGTCCATTCCTGTTCTGCTCTGTTCGTGTTGGGTCTGTTTGCAGCTGCCTACTCTGCTCTAGATATTCACACATCAGCCCACTAGCTGCTTTCGTTCCTCTGTTCTCCTGCTTTGGATTTGCACTTCTACAGGCTCTTTTCCGTGGGTGGACTTAAGCTCTGCAGCATATCACCCACCTTCGCAGTAGCAGCTCTGCAAGCTCTTTCCTTGGCTTTCTTCATACGGGGAAAAAACACATTTTCAGAATCAGCACTCAGGAAGAAATTGTTTTTGTTTACCTTATTGTAAAGGAAGAAGATCAATAACAGGAACTGTCTGCTTAGATTAGGAGGGTGGATATATAAGCAGATGTGGAAAACAATTTGTTTAAACAAGATTTTTGTAGGAAGACTTGCAATAGGAGCTTTTCTTTATCCTTTTCTAGATTGTTCCTAGGCTGGGCTTTCTGATCGCAGCAGATCAAGACATTTTGGAAAGCAGAGACATGATAAACCTAATTTCAGAGTTGAGGCCAAGTATAAGATCAATAAGATCAATTGGGATTTAGGGAAAGTTCTGCTTTTGTCCATGAAGAAGGGAATGTATTTTCTGTCTCCCAGCAAGGTTGGTGTTACAGAAGTCAAAGGATTTGCTATTCAAGTTAACAGTGTTGGCTCTATGTATGCAGGAGATACCATTTTTCGAAGGCCAAGACACTGCTTTGCTTGCTGCTGGTGGACTTGGGGCAGCGTTGAGTGCTCAGAATGGTCTTCAAAGCCAACCACCCCAAGGATGGCATTGTGTTTCCCGTAGTGTCTCCCTGCTCTGAGTACAGATCACCCCAGCGAGCTGATAAATGAGCTAAGCAACACTGCTTGGAAAGGCAAGAGGGAGAGGAAGGGAAGAGGAAGCAAATAATGCTCATTTTACTGAGTCAGGCTAGTGATAGGCTTGTTGTGGTAGATGAAAACTGTGCATCACACCCACCATCCTCACTGAAAAGGACTCCGGGAAGGTATGTTCCAAGGAGTTGCTGAAGAAAAGCATGTATAGGCAGTTAAGGGTGTTGGATATCTCTTAAAACTATGCCATGAAATAAATATTGGCATATTCTTAGAGTGGAGAGAGGTGGTGAGGTGTCACAGGGCTGGTGAAGGCCAACCTCTTATCTGTGATTTACCCATATGCTTGTAGTATAGGGTTTTGAATTAATATTTAATGGTTTCTAGTCTATTTTTTTAAGATAATACACCTTCCAACATATCCTTGTGCAATTTGGGACTGTATTTTGAATATGAAGAACACTTCCTGGAGCTATGCAGGAGCCTTGCTGTCATGCCAGGCTAAAGATGCATTTTTTTTTTTGTCATGGTGTTTTATGTGCCTTTTGAGTGTTAAAGTGACTCAGGGAGGGTGGGGAACAAAATCAGGTGACTCTTGTGAACCAAAAAATTCACCCCAACCTTCTCCCTTCTTTCCTTGGCTGCGGAAAAGCAGCTGCTTCTCGTTTCAGAGTGAAAGCAGGGGGGTTGGACTGGATGGCCTCTAGAGGCCCCTTCCAACCTTGGGCATTCTATGATCTCCTCTGAGCGAGGGGCAGGGCCTGCTGCCCAGTGCCAGGGCTGCTGTGGTGGATGGGGCCTGGCGGAAGGAGCGGTGCCTGTGCAGGCCCAGCTTGCGCCACATGGCTGCGTCCTGGGCTGCTGCTGCCCCGCTGGCCCCTTCCCTGCCGCTGCGGCGGCTCCTCCTTATCGCAGCTCCAGCAAACGCTCTGGCAGGGAAGCGGCTTTTCCACTCTGTCACGTTTACGTGTGCCCTCGCATCTGGGAGCAGATAGTGGCCTCTTTGTGCCCGTTTCCACCAAGTGCTTATATAAACAAATAGTACTTAAAACCCCCAAGCTTTCTGCTTTGGCATTTGAATTTCACTTTGCTCACTTTTCTTCCTGTACGTTGTGCTGGTTGTTAAGAACAGAAGGAGGAAAAACGTGAAGGGCAAGAGCTATGACCAGCGCACCTGAGGAGATGTGACCCAAGGTCACAGGTGCAAACGTGGGTGGTTTTGAGTTGGCAGCAGACTTGTGTGAGGGAAGACCCAGCTTGCAACCATGGCCTTGTCCTCAGAAGCTGCAGGCAACGGGCTCTGTGCCCAAGGGAGGTGTCTGAGATCCACGCAACGCAACCCAAGAGGAGCTCTTATCCACCTTACTGCTTCCACAGCCTGATTTGTATTGCTTCTGAACCTATACGGAGCCACCAGTGACCCACTCCCAGGAATGAAATCAAATGTCCATGGGGAACCTGGGGAACACCAGCAGAGTCAGCTTGTTAAACAGCTCCTCTCCTAAATGATTATAATCAAGTCATTTCATTCTGTTGCCAACTCATTTTCTTTTTTTCTCTCCTTTTTACTCCTTTAGCAGTATTAATTGCAGCTGGAGGTACCAGTGTGCAAAGCAGAGTCCAAGCTGAAGGCAGACAGTGCAGAAGGAGCTCAGTGCACAGCAGAGAAAGTCCAGAAAAGGAAATGAGGGACTCTGTGCACGTCTGTAATGAATAGGATAGTGGCAGAGCTTGCTGGAGCGAATGAAGATTTGAGAAGGTTTCACACTGCACCAGGCATAAAATGTAATGCTTAATCAATTAGGGAAATTTCAGTGATCACACAGCAACAGATCTGGATGCTCAGTGACTCTTCAATCAAAACTAGCAGATGTTTGGGCTCCCATCTCCCAGGTTGTTCCTCCAAACAAGCAGCCTGATTCCTCTGCCTGCTGGGGACAATAAATATCTTATCCCGGTTTTTGTGACCCCAGGCTCTTCCTTGGAAAGCACTTGAGCAGGTAAGGGCAAACAGCAGCCAGGTGCTGAGGGATGGCCAGTAGTGAGATGAAGAAATACGGCTCAGATCATGCCCTCAGATGTACATTGGAACCGCTGCTTTCTTCCACTCTGCTTTTCCTGGCCTCTATAATGATGGGCCACAGATGCTGAGCAGTGTGTGCACTCCCTGACCAATACACACAAGAGGACTAGTGACCACTACCTGCCTGGGCATGGTGACAAAGCAGAGATGCCCCCACCTTGCCTTGGGTATACTTGGTGTCTCAGGCTTGCCTGGGATCTAGGGTTGGCAGGAGCAACCTGCCTTGCATTTAATCATAATTGGATTACTATAAGAATCTATTCCCAGAGGTTCTGCACTTGCTTAGTTGAACAAGTTAGCCAGCAATCACCCTTAGATATGACAGTTGCTTATTGATTTGTTTCTGCATGGGTACAGTCTGTTACATTACCCTTCTGTCTCCTTGCTGCAATGCCAAAATATCCCTGGACTGCTCCTAGCCTCTTGATCTTCATCAGCAGCAGTGAATTCCATTTGCAGGAGTTAAACAAGACAAATAAAAATGAATGGAAACTCTCAGGGTGCCAGGACCATGGGGCTGTTGTTTTTAGCAGTGTTTCACCACAGTGCCAGAGAGACGAGACACACATTTATTTTGAATTATTTCAGTGCTTCAGCTGGCCTTGAAGAGCAGGTACTGCCACTTGCCTGATAGGAATAACCTCAAGCTGATTTATTTCAAATACAAATGGATACATTTAAAAAAAAAACAAAAACAAACAAAAAAAAAACTTTACAGCAGAGTGCTTTGATTTCATAGGCTTTTGCTTCATTTTTTTCCTATTCTCTGTCCCTTTGCTGTCTGTATCTGCTTGTGACTCAGTTTTCCTTTCTTTCTCTCACTGTCAGACCTCCCAGCTCCCCTCCCACTGCTGGGTCTTTCTCAGAAATGTTGCACTACCAGCACTCACCTTCATTCTTAGAAAAAGGAGCACAAGAACATTTGCTTGGAAGTAAAGGATCTCTGTGAAGAACAACTTTGGACAACAAATCAGATTGAAGCGAGGCAAATCTTACGGAAACTCTTCAGGGCATCTAATTACTTTCAGGACATTTTGAATATAAATAAGGTTATTTTGGCAAAATGTGTCCTGATGTCAAATATTCAGCTTCCCTAGGAAGCTGAGGAGCTTGAACGATTGGAAAAATGGGCTCCTCTCGGGTGAAAAGACTTGAGCAATCTTCATGACTGATGGCAGGTAGCAACCATCTAACAACCCTTGGAATGACAGGAACGCTGGCTCTAGAGACCCAGACTGGAAAGAGAAGCAGGTCTTATGAGAAAACTTACAGGGGAAAAAAAAAAAAAAAAAAAAAAAAAAAAAAAGGCCACAGGTCTTGAGGGCCATGACAACAACTGCCACTGTTGGCTGCAGGATGTTCTGTGACTTTTTGACATCTGTTCTGCCTGCAAAAAAAAACAGTGCTCCTCCTGTGCAGTGCCAGAAGTGTCAGCTCCGCAGAGTTTCCTGCTGGTGCCCATATTTCGAGTGCTGGGAGTTTCAGCATGGGCTCCCTGGCTAGGGCTGCTGCAGAGGAGCTGTCAGGGCCGTGCAGCGGCGCTCGGGGCAGGTGCACAGAGGGTGCAGCCGCTTCGCTGCGTTTCCTGCGCCTGCCCCGTCCACCCCTGCAGCCCTGACGCGCTGCGGCCAGAGCTTCGCGCTGGATCCGATCAGCGCTCGGCACGTTCACGTGTCCAGATATCCTGGGCAACTGCACAGGCTCTCTGCAGGCTGCCAGGGCAATATTTCCAGGTGGAAAAGGACAAGTCTGAGCCATGCAAACGTGCTGGGCTTTTCCAAATGGGCTTTGTAGCATACTGCTAATAATTCAGTACTTTTCACAGAAAAATAAAGGCAGGCAAGGCATGTGCTCTAGTTCTTCCAAGCCTCTTTTTTTCCCCTTTTCTCATTTTTCTTCTGGGATTATGGAGCTAGAGGACTAGATTTATTTGTTATTTTCCTTCTACAGCAAGTTTTTGAGGATACCATTTTAAAAAGGAAACTTCTGCTCTTGGGAAAAGGTCAAAATCATTAATGCTTTTTATATTTTTGTTCTGTTCCAAAGGCTGTTAGAGACAAGTCTGCATCCAGTTGTGATGGTTCCTGATAGCTGCTACATGGCTACAATTAAATATTCCATGGCTACAACTGAATATCCCAGGAAACTCCTGCTCCTCCGTTAGCTATTTGGCCTGTGTATGTTCACAAAGAACATCACTGAACGAGGCTGCAGCATCCTTAGGCTGCTTGGCAGTGGCTGTTTCAGGCATAATCATAATGCAGCCCTGCCTAGAAGTATGTATGCTAAAACCAATGCTCTGCCCCTGCATGCAGTTTGTTTGGCACAATCAGTGTTGCCAACATCCATCTCTAAAAGTGCCAAGGCCAGAGATGGAGACGTGTGGCTACCTGCTGCCGTGCCACCTGAGGATTCACTGGACTGAGTTTGCTTTCGTATCCACTGATGAACTTTATCAAGCCTGTTTCTTTGTTGTGAGTGAGAGGACAATGTAAGACCTTGCAGACCAGAGCTATGACATGCAGCTGGTTCATGCTTTTTAGTCGAGTTGATGCTGAGTCCTTCAGGGAAGGACGAGGCTGGGAACCTCTGGCCTGTGACTAGGGCTCTGGAGCACATCAATGTCTTAAAACATTGTGTCAGCACCACTGCTAACTGCAGCTTTGAGCACTTCCACTGTCTACCTCCTGTCTTTGCCCCAACTTCAGAGTTATAAAAGCACCTGGTTCTCAGGCACGTATTCAATCATATTTGATTCCAGACACTCCAGGATCGGAAATTCAATGATGTCAGACACTCATCTGCTATAAGGCTGGTCCTACTGCAACTGGACTGGCTTTGCACCTACCAAAGAGCTGGCCCTCCTGTGACTTCAAAGTGACAGCACTGAGTCATGGAGCAGCTGGTGGTAGCAAGGAAATAGCTCCTGGCTGCTGATCATCTTCATTGCTGCAGAGTGCAGATAGGATTTCTCTTAAGGTGTTTTTGCTTGGATAACCTTGGCCAACCCCTCTTTTTCTTGAAATGATGCAATAAATTAGAAAGCAATAAAGGGCCAAAGGCAACATTTGAAATTCCAGTGGCATTTCTAGGAACTGCCTCATGCATTCCAAGTCCTCTGTGATGACCTGCTGGCCAACCTGCAGAGGGAAAGGGGTAGCTACAGAGAGGCAGGGTTGTGTGATGCCCAAGTTGGACAGGCCCTGAACAGCATCTAGGCCCAAGCTGGGTGGCCAGGCATTGCACTGCACAGAGCTTGTGGTGGCCAGGTTGAGGATGGATGCAGTTCTCACACACACACACACACACACACACACACACACACACACACACTCCTGCAGCTGGACTTGTTCTCCTGCAGAGGATTGTTCCCTCTACCATCAATACATGGCTCTAATTGTGAGTAGTTTTGCCCCCAAGAGGAAGTACCAGGGCTGGAGGGTTTGGTTTGTGCCTGCTGGGCCAGGGGCTTTTTATTGTACTTTGCTTCAGTGGGATCACATTAGTGTGGAGATCTTTTCTTCCCATTACATCTCTCTGTTCTGGGACTTGCTTTTTCCTTGAAAAATTGCCATTTTCCAGCTGGTCAAGGGTCTTAGGGTAGTTGAAAGAGCACAGCTGATATTTGGGATCTGAGGAGAAAAAGTTAACAGGCAACACAGAGCAAGTGCAGCAGGGGAATGTGCCATGAAGTAACAGCCAAGAAAACAGCCTAAAGACACTAGCTCTACTATATGTATGTGTGTGTATATATATGTATATATATATATATATATATATAAACAAAAAAATAAAAAGTTTCAAAAAGAGTGATGTTTTATTATTTAAGGGGAGAAGGTTAGATATTTATAAAGCACAGGTGTGAATCAATGTTTTGAGCTACAAAGTGTGTATAGAACAAAGTTTTAAACATAGGTTCTGACCTTCACTATTGTTCAGTCTATTCACTCTGGCCAAACACAGTGCATTCTTGTGCCTCAAACCAGTTATTAGGACTGGAAGTGAAAGTTAAATCCTGTATTATTTATACTTCAGCACCAAAAGTTGCCTGCCAGCTCTTGAAGACTTTTTCTGGTGAACTTTAGCACTTAAATGCTGAGATCTTGTCTTCAGGAACATGAGCAGCCTTCTGCGTGGAAGATATCTGAATCTGGGATCCTATGTAGAGTAAGTTTCACCTTAAAGGAGGGGAAAGAAAAAAAAAAAAAAAAAAAAAAGGAAGAACAGGAAATAAGAGTCTTTTCTCTGTGCTCAACAGCCAGGTGGGTAAGCTGCCCTTGACAGAATGGCCTTGGAGACACCACAAGCAACTACTACACACCCACTGGCAGCATTCCTTTATTCCCCAAAGTCTGCATTTCAAGGTCCTTATCTAAAGATTACCAAGTCACTCTAATTTACAGTTGGCCAGAATCTCACAAGGTTGCTTCAGGCTCTTTGAGATCAAGTCAAACACAACAGTGCAGACTCTGTATTCCCCAAAGAGGAATGTCCCAAAGTGCTATGTCAGAACGATGCTGAGGGGTCATTTGGCACTGAGATTACTAATGCCAAACTTGAGTAAACCCATTTAAAGAAGCTCTTGAAAGGTGAATAACAACTTGCTTTCTCATTTGGCTTAATTCACTTGACTTATCTTCAAACGAGTTGAGCTTACCTCCTTTCTTGTGGACCTGCTGATAAACAGGGAAACTTCCTCCACATTCTTAGGGTGCAGGTCATTCACAGCCACTATATGGTCTCCATGGTTAAATATACATCCAAGTCGGCAAGGACCAGTCCAGTGTGAGACACTAAGTAATTGGAGTATAGACAACAAAACAACCACATGGGATACCTGTTACTGCTAACGGATTGAAAATGACCAAATGGGATCACATTTATTCCTATTCCCCTCTTGAAATAGCACACAGGGAAAGTGATATTATGACTTTCTGGTCAGGTTCTAGCTAAAAAACAAAACAAACAAAGAACCTCCCCACCCTAACCCCCCCAAAAAAACCACACACACCACAAAAAAAAAAAATCCTCAAAGACCAACCAACCAACATCCTGCTTCATTGATCCCAGCAGGCCCAGTAAAAGCGTACATGACACTTCCACTGACTCCCTTGCTAACAAAGTCAACAGCAAAATCTGAGGATTTGGGTCTGAACACAGTGGGCCACTTTGTGTGGATATATGCTCACTATTGCAAATATTTTAGTCCTGTGACTGACTGAGACAAGTTTTGGAAATCTTCCATGAGGAGACAATTAAACTAAAACCTATATTCCTGTGTTATACCTGTAAGAATCACATATCTATCAGCATCCTTGAGACTGTATGAGCCAAAATCCTGATGGACTGTAATGGAAACTTCAGTATATTTTTCCTACTCATCTCTGATAAACTTTCCTTGATGACCAGCTATGTAGGACTGGCTGACCCAACAGTCAGACTTAGTATTCTATTGTCCTGGAATGAGCCCCAAATCCTGGTCAGATGATTCCTAGCAGTGAACCAGTGCTGGGATTAATTCTGAAATTATCCCATGGAGAATTCTACACTGGCATTCAACTCAAGTCAGCTTGATTAATCTAACATCACTTAAGTTCTCATAGCCCACGCTTAACTGGAGACTCTTAATGTGCTTTGCAGGTGCTACTAGACAAGAATAATACTAGGGACACAGGCTAAAAGGTTAAAGGGAAAAAAGACACAAAAGGACTGGATGAATTAGAGTGAATTACTGGTATCTAGATCTGGAAATGGTTCCCTCTGTGCTAATAGATTCCATTTTACCATTTTCTCCAGTGACAGACAGACTTTATCACTTTCCAAAGCATTTTTATTTCTTTGCACAAATCTTTCTTCACATGGCATAAACATACTTAAGGGGGCATGGTGACAAGAAGTCAGATAAGTGGGATTTGAATTCTCTAGCTTGTATGTCTTTCATAATTTTCATCATCAACAAAGCATAACAAATTACTGGTCACCTATACTAATCTCTACAACATTTTTAGTTAAAAAAGACTATTAATCCTATCATAAGATATATCCCCTGACCATATCTATCATCACTATTGTTCAACAACTCAAAAAATTTGACAAGCGATAATTGATTCACACTAATATTATAAAATTAGCTTTTGGATGTGATTTAATCACACACAATGATTCTGCCCTGTTCTGCACAGTCACAAGTGTGTATGGAAGTATGCAAGGCTGCACATTTCTATCTCTAAACTGATTGTCATTCATTCACACATGACAGGCATCATCATAAGACATCCAGAACTCACCATATTTGTCCTGCTGCTTCAGTAAGTGTTAGGTAACTGCTAATATCAGTCAGGGGGATGAAAATATCTAACTTCTGCAGTTGGGTCTCATCTGTAACTTGACTATAAGGGAAAACATCAGAGATAAGGCATGCTCTACCAGTACCTCAGCATAAGCCCATGAACATTAGCTATTTCTCCGCTATGAAAAACAGAGGCCCTTACCCGAGTAATACAGTCAGTTGAACAACTGAAAGGGGTAGTGAATTTTGCTTTCTCTGAAGGATTGACTGCTGATTGGTGCTGCTTTCCACAAGTTTTATGTTTCTGTTTGCCACCAAGTCTCTTGGACATGCATTGGTTTCCTGGCACTTGGGAAGAGTCAGGAGTCCATCACTGTTGCACGTGAGCTGGTGATTTTCATCCAGGACCCGACTGAAGAGGAGAGGAAAAAAAAAAAAAAAGAGAGAGAGAGAGAACACTAGTCTGGTCATAGTCAGGCACAAGAGTTACTTTTGCTTTGCTTGAAGCTCAATTAAATAGCTGCCAGTGAAGCAAAGAAAAACAAGTTCTTGTAGCATATCCACAAAATAACAGCTAAGTAAAATAAATTGTCTTTCTAAAAATGAATCATAAATATCAAAATAAACCTTTTCAGTATTTAAAGACTACTATTAAACCTGAAAACATTCCAGCTAACAATATGCTTTAACAGAGAAAGCAACTGCAGATTGCTGGTGTTAGATGTACTGGCTGCTGTGGGGATGAAACACTGTCTCCTGAGAGATCCAATAATGCAGGTGTGATTAAATGCTCCTTGGGTTGTTCAATGAATCATGTAATGTCTCAGTCCTCCCCAAGCCAAGACTGGGGTGAGTAGCAAAAGCTGTTCTTGGTGTGTTTTAACTCAGATGGTATAGGCTTGTGGGGCTTTTATAGTGCTCCCCTCCAGAAGGGCTCACAAACATTCAGAGACACTGCAATGAGTCTAGCGTGAGGAGGTGGTTTCAGGGGTGGAATTTCCAGCTGCCTCCCACTAGGTGGGGTAAGATCCGACCACCCTACGCAGGTGGTAGGACTGCTCACAAATAACAACTACTGCTTCCCCAGTCCTTCTATCAGGACAGCACACTTCCCTTCAGCATAGCATGCCACAACATGACAGTTGTAAAATTTCATTATGGCACTAGCAATGTGACACTAATTTCAGGTCTGTCTTGATGGCATGCCAAATACTGTACCTGCAAAATGTAGCAACAGACCCACGCTTTGGATGGCAGAGCTGAAGCAAGATGACAACCTTTTCAAGATCACATAACTGCTTATTGGCAAAATTGGGATCTAGCATCCTAGGTCTCTTTTTCTCTTTTAACCACCAGACAATGCTGACTGTGGAGTCAGTCTGCAGAAGTGTTGCTGGAGCTTGGATGGAGTATTTGAGTACAGTGGTGGGCTCCTGCATCACAAAAGCCTAGAAAAAGTACCAGTCACCTGGAGGTGTCCTACAGTCAGAGCCTATCTAAATGCTTGAATTTGCAAGTGAATGTAAATTTTGCTTGGATAAATTTACATTTCACTCAGCAGTTTTTAGCTTTCTGAACAAAGACCAGAAACAAACTGGTCAACAAAATTCAAATTAGATGAGAACAGCTTAGACATCATTTGATAAATACCAGGAATGACAATATCTTCCCATATCACTATATCACTTTTAATTTTCAAAATCTTAATAGAGTTACTTACAGTGATTTCATTGACATATAAATGTGCTCCTTCACAGCGTTCTTGTGCACTGGTTTTTCTTGCACAGGGATATTAGACTCAGCTGTAGGGTCAGGCTTTGATATTTCAGTATTACACTGTCAGAAACGCAACAATATACAAGGTAAATGTTCTTGTTCTGCCTACAGAAAAATCTTCCTAATTTCATTATTTCATTCAGTACTTGTGCTGTTTAAGTATAATACACTGCTTAATACAGCTTAGCTTTCCTCAGGCAAGTCACCTCTCAGAAACAGTGAGCTATAAAAAAATGGTTGAAACTGAAATGCACACACATTGCATTGCAAATGTTTCACAGCATTTTAAAATTACTGGGTGATTTTATGCAATTTCATAACTTCAGAATTATGTTTTAAAATATTCAAAATAATGTACTGATAAATTTCCTAAGGTACCAGTTTCTGAAAAGGAGAAAAAAAAAGAAAAAAAAAAGGAAGAAAAAGTGACAGAACAGGCAAAAACCATTTAAAATGAAGCAGTATGCTGGAGGAATTTCAAGAAAATCAACAATGTTTTTGTTGAAATTGCTACCAGAAAAATCTACTTGCTACCAGAAAAATCCTTTGAATAAATCTATCATATTATCTTCCTGTACATAGCACTATCACATAGTGCTTTTTCAATATATTTCTGTAACAAAGTATTAGCTATCACTAGTATTAGTATGTAGCTCTCTATATACCAACTCCTCTTTGGACTGTTAAATGCCTCCTGGATCCTTGGATTTAACAAAACAGAAGAACTCATACCTGATTAACTACCTTTGCTAAAAGACTGCTTGGAGTTTTATAATAGTCATCATCTTCCTCTTTGATGTCTTCATCTGTATCTGATGACAGTGGATTTTCTTCAGTCTTCCCCATATTTTTATTCTGTTAAGATAATATTTTCATATTTAACAGCATTAGTTATACAGATCATTTAATGCGATTTTCCATTTATTTGGAAAAGTAATGGAATCAGCAGCTATCCACAGGAAACATGAGAAGACTTGCTTCTCCTTGAAGACAGAAATGTTAAATGTGAGTCTGTTTAAGGATCAAGGTATCTGTAATTGTGCTTCATCTTGCATTTTTACAATAAACTGCACATGCACAATACAGCCACTAATATTAATATTTCTCATACACAGATATATAATAAGCAAAAAGCTACAGTTGACTCTGTTTACTAATTGTTAGTTTATTTAAAAATCAAGTAGGTTAAATACTTATACATGATGCTGCATACATTTATGGTACATTTCTGCATACAAAAGATTTTTTTTTTTATTTGGGTTCAATCTGGGTTTTATTTGGGTTCTTACCCTACAAAGACATTCAAAGAAAATCTAGAATTGGATAGGGAAATACTTGTTAAAGCACCTCTTAACTGCTACCAAGTAAGGAATGAACTTGGGACTTCCCTGATTAATGACAAATCTTGTAACTCATTACTCCATGAACTAGAACTACCCCGAGAGGGATAATCTGCCTTAAGATACTTCATAAATACTCAGAATAGTAAATTGGGGGAATTTAATATGTCAAGGAGAACTTAAACCCTCAATCAAATTTATCTTTAAGTCACAAAGATAAATAATTTATTTCCTCTCTCTCATTGTTGACTTCACTATAATGAAGAGGATGGCATTTAGCATTTAGTTTTCTCCCAACACAATTCTCCATGCCATGTTTCTGATGTAATCATTTTTAATCTATTTCCATCCTATGTATCCATGGTGATAATTTTAGTAATTCTAAATATGCCACCAAATATATTACTGCTTTCAAGGTAAAGCAAATTTAACTAATTAATCTGTTTCACATAAAGAAGAAACTGGCACTGAATATAAATTGGAGATGATGAACGCATTTACATTCCTTGTGTGTATAAATGCTATTAAAAACCAGCCAATGTCAGAACATACCTACAAATGGTCACTTGGAGGCATGTAACTAAAATCCTTAGTGGGAACTAGACAGACTCTATGGTCATGATCTAAAGTTATGGACAAGTTTCCCAGTGAATTTTCAAGGGCTTTGGCTCAATCCCACCATAAACACTTGGGAAGAAAAGGGGGCAAAAGATTTGATGAGGCCTTGAGATCCACCACCATCTCTCAAGATGAGACGGCACTCGTCAGCTTCCCAAAACTGATCCTTCAGTCACTGACAGTGGGCAGCTTTTATGGTGTAAATACAGTGTTTTTATTCACCCTACCTCAGATCTAGGGGATAACGGGAAGCAGAGGGTTAAGCTGCTGCAGCACCGAGTCTAGATCAGCAGCATTTGGCCTACTCTTCAGCTCTTCCAGGTGCTTGGGAAGAGAAGCAGTGCACTTAACTTCAGCTTAAAATTATTCTCAACCTTACAGCTAAACAAGTTAGTAAAGGCCATGTTGAATCAAGGCGAGGGTTTATACTGGGACGGAAGTACATTACAAAGGAGATTAGCTGTAGCAAAAGGCAGAACGTGAAAAGGTTAACTGACAAACAACTGAGCAATGTTATTGGCCTTTTAGGGGCTGGGTCAAAAGCTGTGTGCTGCATTGAGCTCTCTGAAAGGCTGCTGAGCTCTTTTAGTCATGTGTCTAACATTAAAACTAGTGTTCCCGAGGAGGAGGCCTAATCCTGACTGTACTGGTCTGTACGCCAGTAATCATAGTACAGGGTGACACAACACAGGACTCACCATTTTGATGAATTTTAGGTACCAAAAGTTGCATTTGGAAATAGGTGATACTGACCTGCCAAGTCAAAGGCTTGATTTTTGTAGCTCCAGAAAGTGGGTTCAAAGAGAACCAGCTCCCGGAAACCTCTCCTGGGTTACAGTGTCCCTGACTACGTGACTAGATTCCATGACATTAAGGAGCTTGTTTGCATGAGTTATAGTTACTCATCAAAGAGTTTTCAGGATCAGGGCATGCAAGAGGTAACCACCAAAGAAACTAGATACCAGAAATGTAGAGTCATGCTTTTAATGAGAAGTAAACACAAGGGTTTAATCCAGAAATTAGTTGTCTAATCATCACTGACTAAAGAAAAGATACCGAGATCTTAGCAGATACTAAACTTGAGGCCAATATGATATCTTTATGAAATGAACCATCATTGTTCCTTGTTAGCAATCTGGCAAGGTCATTCACAATATTTTCAGCTATCCCGAAACAAAACCACAAGCTCCTTACTGCTTACTCATTGTAATCACTCTGTTCCAACAGCAGCGTATTGCCTCCCAAGTCACCATAATATGAGAGTATTAGTGAGAGACAGGAAAAGGATATAGGAGAGAAAGACATGGCAAGAGAGTCTTGACATGCATAAAGGTAGTGCTAGTAAAAAAAAAAAATCTAATTAAACCAACCCAGTCTGGGGCTCAGACTCACTGAGCAACTCCATGAATTACTATGCATCATCTGATTTGTGGTAACTACCGATGACATTGCAAGGTAGTTCCAACTATTTTCACTACATTACACTAAATTTAGCTGTATAACCTCATACTTTCTGCCAGGCTGTACAGACATGGATGGTTACTGCAACATGTGATTCACCAGCCTGCTAGCTGATAGCAGAATAGATTCCTTTGCCCTGTCTCAGCCACTCCAAATCATAGCCTAGTGTAAAAATTGCTAATAAAGATGGTTTTATAGTCAGCTGCCAAACTGTATACTGGCATGGTGGAGCCTTGGGCCTGTATTTGGTTCTGCTGAATCTGCTGCAAAGGCAGTAACCAAGGGCAGAGGTGAAAAAAATCTGAAACCACTGCAGCTATTTGTTCAGGGAACACAGGTCAGAGCCCTTAGCCAATAACACACAGTCATGTTTATTATTTTAGCTTTTAGAATCATTTCTAACAGATAAGGAAGCCATCTTTATGCACACCTCAGCCCTGAGGTGTGCCTCAATTTAACAAAACCTTGTTATTTAGTTCTGTTAATTTGATTTAGTTGCTACTTTCACATATGCTCTGAAAGAGATTAGAGGAAAAAAACATTCAAAGAGTGCAGTACAGTTGAGAAATATGCTGGGAGGGACAAGACCTCAAATAGTTCTATCAAGCTTTTTAAGAGGTGTCACAAGTTACAGCTGCTGCAGAGAAACTTTGAGCACCTTCCCTCCCCGGAAACAAAGTAAATTAAAGTTATTTCAAGTAAGTTCAATGCTAAATAAATGAGAGAGCACTGTATTTAGAAAACTTCCACAGTGAAAACTAACTGAATATGCTTAAGAAATAGGTGAGTAATCTATAGCTACAGATAACAGGTGGGATGAGAGCCGATAAGTTACTTCTGCAGACTGAACAATCCAAAAGCTGCTCACCAGGCTTGGAAAAGCTCTTCCTAGTGAGTCACCCTGAGTCTGATGGGTGCCAGGGTCCGAATTAGGCCTGTTCTTTTCTTCCGAGTGATCTTTCTCCTGTACACAAGAGAAAAATGTTGCTCCTATATATTTTGCAGATGTTTTACCTGCCTTGTTGCTGAGTAACACAGCCTTTGTTGAACTTCCTTCAGGACTATTTGCACAGAGCTTTGTGCCTATGGAAAAAACAATTCTTCTCTGGCTGCTATTCAGTCTGTCACCAAAGGATGGGGACTGTAATTGCCAGGAGAAATGCTTTCCTTCCTTTCTTTTTACAAACTGAGAGGGAAGATCTGAGCACAGAGGCACAGAGCTCAGGTAGGAGTTCAGGTTCTAGTGGGTGTCACTGGGACTAAACTCCCCTCTAGGCTTTAAAGGCTGAAGAAAGAGTTAAAGAAAAGTGCAATTACAAAACAGGAAGGATGTTGCCAGCAGCTGCAGAAAAAAAATACCTGTGTGACTTTGCTGAGGCACATCAAAGCTGATCTGTAGGGGTTTATCTTAGCAATGAGAAGGTGCCCACCAGTCTTTGCCAGCAAGCCCACCAATCTTTGCCAATGAATTTTAGCGCTCACCAGCATGAGCATCTGCCCTTACTTAGAGGCAGACTAATAAACAAACATTTTGACCCTGTGTAGGGACTCTCTGACATTAAAATCCAGGTCTTGCTATATAAAGCCCCAATACAACCAGAATACACCATCTGGCACTCAGTACGTGGCACTTATTTTGATTGAAGTAAACAACTATACAAAACAAATGTCAGCTATCCCTGGCAGCAAACTCATTAGGAGCTCCTTATCCATTTACCTTCTGGATGCTTTGGCTTTCTAGGTGGTTGGTCATTCCTGCATCAGTCAAGAACAATGGCAAAGAGGAAGGACGGCTTTTGACTTCTGGATTTGCAAAATTTTGGTTCTAGAGACAAGAAAAGAGCAGTGTAAGAGACAGACACCTGGAGTGCATGGGCTGCAGTGTGCCAGCAACATCTTAGTAGTAAAGATTATACTTCTAAAGGCTCAGAGAGGTTGTACACATGGTATTTTGCAAATGAATTTAAGTTTGCCCTACTTGTATCCTGGGCTGACTGCCCAGGCTGTAAGCAGCATAGTGCCAAGTCTGAACTAACAGGGCCCCTTGACCAACAAGGTACAGAAACTTGGGCTTGATACTGAATTAATAGGACTTCCAGTTGGTGCATAGCACTGACTGACTACATGTGAATCTGCTTGTAAAACAGCAAGTAGACATATCCAAAAAGACCACAGTAAGAACTGCACACAAGTTTGCATTCTGAGACTTCAAAGGTGCAATTCATAGCAGCATATGTCAATCTCCTCCTGATTTTCACCTAGCCTACTTCAGAGAAATTCCTTCAACATAAAACCAATCATGGTGCATCACAGACTGGGCAATAGCTGTTTAGCTCATAAACCCAACAGGCAGGATCTACATGGAAAATTAATTTTCAGTTAAGACAAGCAACTTGCATGGCCAAAAATAAGGAAAATTCCTTGCCTCTTAGCACAAGTGTCTAACGAACTTACAAACTTTTCTCTCTTAAATCAAGAGTAGTAGCAAGTCACCTGAGGACATCCACCTCCTTTCACCTCCTTGCAAATTGAAGATATCTCAGTGACCCATTCTTCTATCTCTTGCCTGTAGGTTAAAACAATAGAAACACAAACCTCATAAGTAAACCACAAGGACAATGCACTTTCTAACCCACTTCCTCTTACAGGCCTAAGAAACAGTTCCCCAAATGAACAGAGAAAATAACTTCTTCCCTTCAGCAGAGTGTGCTTATGTGGTTTCAGCCAGATGCCAAAGTTCACGCCTTAAGGAGATGCCGCACAGGACTGTGAGCTACATCTGAAGCATTGGAACAGGCTGCCCAAAGAAATGGTGGGGTCACTGTCCCTGGCAGTGTTCAAAAACATGTAGATGAGGCACTTAGGGACATGGTTTAGCAGGTATGGTGGTGATGGGTTTTCAGTTGGACTTGATGACCTTGAAGGTCTTTCCCAACCATAATGGTTCTATGAAGGGACGCGTGCACACTGGCATGTGTTATGTGTGTGTGCGTGCACACGCAAGGGAGATGGAGGAGGAGGAACGGTTTCTTCTGCTTCACTTGCTATGTGAAATGCTGCTTTGCTGCATACTGCCCTGAAAACGGCCAGGAAGGCTCACCAAATTGTTTGGGCAGGTAGAATGAGTAATGGGTCATGCGTGCACCAGAGCAACACAGTTTTGTGCTAGCAAGTAGGACTAGTTTGATGAATTCTGGACCACTTCCCATCAAATACACAAGTATTTGAAAGGAGTGCCCTGAACGAAGGTGGGGAACGACATGCATAAGTGGTACGTAAGTGTGTGTTTTCCTTCGTGCTTATAAATGTTTCACACATCAGTTGCTCTTCCGCATTAAGACATTAAAAAAACCAAACATACATAAAAGACATACTTGTGGCTGGGAAAGCAAGAGGGGAAGCTGGGAAGTAGCAGCAGAGCAGCACCTTGCTAAACATATTCCCTCACCTACATGAACTTTGACTCATCACCACAACAGCACAAATATCAGCTCTTGCTGATGCCTGGATTATTGGGAGAGCAGGGAACAACACATCAGCCACAGGAAAATGAGAAAGCCATAAATAAAAGACTTTCTACCAGATCAGCCGACTGAACCACTTCATCCTGGGGTTGCACAATCAATAGATCCAACACAAGGAGAGACCAGACCTGCTGGCCAGAGCCACAGGGCAGAAGCACCTTGTTCTGGGACTGCAACAGTGCTACAATAGCAACAGTGCTACAATTGTCATGTCAGGCTGCATTTACGTGTCCTGTTGCGCCTACCTGCACTTCCCAATGAGGTAGTAACTTCTGTCTCCAGTACTGATGGACATCACCTCTTCAGGAGGGCATTTAAACATCTTCTTTACTATTGCCATCCTGTCAGAATTACTTATGCCAACTTCTATATTTATGATCCTGTGAAGATAAGCATATGAAATATCATATACATGTATACACATATACGTGTTTATATATGAGCACACAAGTGTGTGTGTGTGTATGTGTATTTTACACTAAGCACAGCATGACAAGATGAGGTCTGCATGGAAAAATGTATATATTTTCCCTCCACAAAATCTCAAGAAAGTGCATGCTTCCAAAATATTTTCTGGTCTTTAAATAAGGAAGGCTCCAAAAGAAACAATAAAATCAACTTTTACAGCGACTCAAGTCCAAATTTTCAAAACTCACTTTTGAAAAGAGGGGCTCTTACTATAACTTCAGGATTTCAAGGGGTAAGAAAAATGCCTTGCAGATCTTTTTTCAACTATAGTCTTTCAACAATTTATCAGACAGTAAGTTTGGTTTGAAGCAAATTGTACACTTTTACTGTTCCAGTAGAGGAGAGCAGAAATTAACACTTTCCTCTTTTTTACTCTTGATGTATTTTAAATGGTAGCACTGCTTCTATTAACTTCCAAGATATTAAATTAGACCAAGCTGCTGTTGTAGTAAAAACAGCAACAACAATGACAATAATGATAGTAATAATATAACAACACACCTCTGAGCAAGTTGGAAATTCTTCTGTAGAACTTTTCACTAGAAATCCTTCCAATTGGAAGAAATAGCAATCCAGTGGCAGAGGAATAGCAGTCCAATGAACTCCAACATTAGCAAGTCCCAGGGCCTTTGGATCTGGTCTTGAGTCTGACTGGCTAAAACCTTTGCATTTCTTTGCCAGAACGGTTTCCCTTCTACATATTTAACACCCCAGCTGACACTATAAAGGGCACTAGCACAAAGTCAATGACACCCAGCCTTGCTGCAGTCAGTGATGGGCACTGTCTCAAGAGGGATTAAATGATCAGCCCAGTATAAAGGTGATGCATGAGAGTTACATACTGATCAACAGCTATGGAGCCTTTTATACTCTGGCCTTTTAGGTACTTCAGGGTGTAGAAACTCTTGCTGGATTTGGACAGGATGAAAAACCGCCTTTTCCAGGAATTCTGCCAAAGAGAAAATAATTTGTCTTTCATCAGAACTCAGGAGAGCAGAAATAACAAATATTTATTGAGGGATTGCTGGAACATGACTAATCTGTGCTATCATACCTGGGAGCTCAGAAGTTGAAGAGGTGGCGATTTGATGAAGAATCCGTGCTTGCAAACTTCCCCATTGGAACAGAGTATATTCTGAGTTCCTAGCAATCAAAGAGAAATGAACAGAACCATTATTCAATTCATAGCTAATTATTCTATTACAAGGACCTGCTTGAACCGAAAATCATTGATGATCACTGGACTTCTGTACTTAAGTGGCCATGAAGTACATTCAATTAGACAA